GCTAAATATTATGTGTCTATCATTTTCCATCAATGATAGTTTCATTGTACAGGAAGCATTATTAGTATCGCAACAAAAAAATGTAAAAATGAAACATAATTGTGCCTTGTTAAATAAATAAATAAATTCCGTTAATGTTTTCAAACGGATTACCTGCAGTTTATTTCTTATTTCTAGCCCTTCTCGCATAATGTTTTTCTAAGACTCTCTTTCCTTCACAATTAGGGAAATTTCTAAGATCATAATAAGCTGGTGCAATATCTAAAAGCCTAAAGTATAGGTAAAGTTAACGTCAGAGATTTCAGACAACAAAAAGAAAAAGAATATATAAAATTACATACCAATCAGCTTTTACTTCAGTCACAGTACGGATATAATTCTTAGTCGTAAGAACAAATTCATTATACAAGACCCATTCGGGTTGATGTCCAAGAGACGAAGATGGATGAAGTTGAACAATCTAATGCATAATCATATTACAATTACTAATTATTGACAATCTAGATAACATCAATTGGATTTTAATATAATATACCTGATTATCTTTGCATGTCAAATAATGGCCTGATTTTTCCAAATGTGCCACTTGCATAAAGAATCCTGCTGTCAAGGCTTGCCTAATGTTTGTATAGTAATTCCTTTCTTCAAATGGTGTGCTAACCAAATCTTGATCACAACGTTCCATAATGCGTTTGAGTTGCTGACGAACGTTATCAGCCGATTTTAAAGATCGAGCACTGAGATAATTATTATAACACCATTCCGGATCATTTATATCTATCAAAGAAAAAAAAATTTATTATTCCTCAATATAAATTAAAATAAATTAATGAATCCTAATTTGTCTTTTTTTTTTTAGGTGACTTACTAGTTTTATAAGCGTGATAAACATTCAGTAAGGTTAAGTGATCTCCATCAGTGTGCGCGAACTTTCCTTTTGCATCCTCAGCCTGCTTTTTAGATTCATTAGGCCGAACAAAAATATTTGGCACTTAATAGGTTTTATATATGTTAGCATTAAGCTAAATAAAAAGAATCCATTCGATAATATTAAATAAATACCTGATAATAACGCAGCGATCGAAAGGATTTCATTAGAGCATCTATACTTGGGACTTTCTATCAACATTTTTGCCAGTTGAGGATCAAGTGGAAATTCGGCCATTAAAATTCCATCGTTAGTGAGATTACCGTCATCGTCAAGAGCGCCAAGATAATTTAGAAGCTCAAGGGCACGCATCAATGTTTCTGGGGCTAATATTTCATATAAG